AGACAGACAGAGCAAGACAGAGACAGACAGAGACAGACAGAGACAGACAGAGACAGACAGAGACAGACAGAGACAGACAAAGACAGACAGAGACAGACAGAGACAGACAGAGACAGACAGACACAGGCAGACAGACACGAAGAACGCGATAGCCATGCCCTGTGTCAGGTACAAAGTTTCGGTGCTGCAATCGGAAGCTCGGACGACAACAGACTCGTTCTGGACAGCCACACTCATTCTCGGGGAGTTATGATGGCAGGGTCCGGGAAGAGTATTTGATGAAGGTTCCAGGATCCGGGGGTGGCAGCTTAGGAGTGGCAGGCTTAGCGCTAACACTTGAAAGTTTTCACTCCGGGCACCCCCCCCCCAGGAATGTATGAATGTATGAACAATTGCCGGCACACGCTGCTCGCGTCAACGGTTGCAAAGTGTCAGCTGCTTGATGCCTGCAACACTCATGTCACGACTCCTACCATCCAAGGTCAGACGAACTTGCCTAGCCCCAGTGTACTCTGTTGACTTTGCGGACAACATGGTCGGCGATGTCTTGTCACTTGCTTGGAATGGGAGCCATCCGCCACCAGCCCCCGGGCACGTTTTGCTCGGCTTTCTTTTTGAAGACAGGTTCAACGACCGACCACAGCCCTTCCTGGAATTTCTTGCAGGCTTGTGGAACTCAGCACCCAAGACTCTGCTTGCGATAAACAGGAGTGTTAGATCGAGGCAAGATTAAGTTAAAGCCTTGACTTGGGATGTCAGCCTCCTTCAGGGCCAGCGCCCTCGGATTCTGAACCAAGCCTATTGCTAGCTGCTAGATTCAATCACTTCAATAGCTGGCAGCCCTGGTAGTGGTGTCAGCTCGCATTGCTTTGCAGCCGGGTACATTCAGATGCCCTGCAGGGAAGATAACAAGCCCAGACCCACGCACAGAAAACTACCCTAAACCCCTAAACCCTAAACCCTGCTTCGTAGAGATTTCACTCCCCATCAGAGATCAGCGCATCCTCGCAAAGGACCAGCATCGCCAAGCCAATCGAGGTGGCTCTGCGCAATATTCGGGCTTAGGGTTTAGGGCTTAGGGCTTAGGGTTTAAGGTTTAGGGCTTAGGGCTTAGGGTTTAGGGCTTAGGGCTTAGGGTTTAGGGCTTAGGGTTTAGGGTTTAGGGATATTCAACTCCGAGAGACCACGCGACAGCATGTAGATGGCAGCAACATCGTGAACTTCACCGTGCGTTTTTCCCGCGAAACCTTAGCAGTTTGGGGTTCACTGCCTTTCAATACGTAGATGTCATGGTTGCGCAGAAACGACAAACAATTGAAATGACAGTCAGTTGGTTGTTGTAATGTCCATGTTGTTAATGTTGGGTCACTCAAGATTACGCTATGCTAAGCCCAGTTTAGGGAACGGGAATCCCGAGCGTCGACATCAAAATCCTAACCCCCACCGCCCAAAGACAGATACAGACAGAACTGTATAAGATCACGCTGATAGATCCTAAACTTAAGCCATTCCTGCTAACCAGTGCTGGATCCGACCGGCTCATTGTTGGTTAGCCTGGTTTTGAGCTTGCGGCAGGATGTCCCGGCAGCTGTGTGCTACCTGCTCTCGCACCACCCACAGGCGGGTAGGGTGCTCGCTTTTTCTATGGATCCCTTGAGTAAAAGAAGAAGCAAATACACGATTCGGGCCCCCAGGAAGAAGAGGTCGTCCAGCGCTTCATTATGATGCTCGGCACAGTCAGCGCGTTCTGTTTGCGGTTTAGGCTTAGGCGTAGAGGCACCGCGAGCCAGCCGTGATGTGCGCTCATGAGCTATCCCGCCCAGGAATGGCGACAGCTGCAGCTACTTGGCCGTAAGCCTTCAGTAGAACCCGAAGCCAAATGAGCCTTGCAGTGACTTGCCTGTATAGATTTGCTATCATACCAAGCCCTTGAGATTCCCAAAAGCCTGATAAAGCCTGAAAATCAAACCCTTCATAACCTTGTCCCGAAGATCAGAGATTATGCACTTTTGCGCCTTCTACCAAGTTGACCATGTGTACCACCGGCGATTGCAGGCCTCAGAGCAGGTCCAACCAAACATTTGCATCCAAGGTGCAGGAACACATCGCTGCCTGACTCGAATGGGGCATGGATAGAACTTGCTGTCCGCTAGAAGAACAGAAGGCCTACCAACGCACGTCATCAGCATGCAGCATGTCCATTGCATAGGAGGGCTGCAACATGCCACAGTATCCTTGATTAAGCTACCACGTGATCACCGTCATCATTATCACAGTCAGTCATCCTTACGACTATCAACCACCATCGTGATCAAATGTTCATTAGCATAGCAGGAGCTGCAAGAGGCAGCAATGTGCGTTTGAAACAGCTACCAACTCACCGTCATCATTTTCATCGGCCCATGTTGAGTTGGGTTGGCGATGGAACTGTGCGTTGGACATATCGGAAGCAACAGACTGGCCATCCGTCCAGGAACTAAAGTCAGCGAAAATCTATATACTCCCATGGCCTTTTCCTAGCGCTTCTTGGTGCGGTACTCTGAGTACGCTTGTTGCCAGAAATCCACTGACATCACAAATTCAGAACCCACACTACTGAGGCTGGTACGAAGACAATCGCGCGTGCTGACGAGCTCCAAAACCCTTGTAGCCAAATATTCACACTAGTACCATCAAGTTAGGTTTCAACAAGCTCCGAAGCATAAAACCAGTGAGACGAAACCTACCCACTTGTAAGGATTTTACCTTTTGATGCTAATGATTGTCTTTCTGTGGTGCTTTTTCTTGGCGCTCATAGAAGCCGACCAAGGCTGGGTGGTGCCGTTCCTGGCGGCCTTACCGTTTTGGTTCCGTGCTCTCCAGTGCTGCCGGCGATGGGTGGATACCAAGGAAGCCACGGGGGTATAGGCCTTTGGTATATTTTAAACATAGGCGCGTATTGGGCCTAAGAGGATCTTATTTACGAATATCTGAAAAGGACCAACCTAGTACAGTGAAGTCGACACGTCTCAAAAGAAGTAGATACAGTGAAGTCGACACGTGTCAGTAGAAGTAGACCCCTGAACGTTACCTGCTAAGAAACCGAGTTGGATGTCGAAGTTGGATGCTTCCCAAGATTATCAGTCCCTTGTTGAGCTCCCCAAAGAAGTGGTCAAACAAGAGACGTGAAGGCACGGCAACCCGTGTGCCTCCAAAGAACTGCCCAATAGCTTGACACAATGCAAAACCGCGCAAATTGTGCTCAATGTCCTGAAGCAAAGCAAGACCCTGCAAATTGTAATTCCCCAATAGCTTGGGGCAAGACGAAACCCTGCTAGATGCAATTCCCCAATAGCTTGACACAAGACAGGAGCCTCCAAACTGCACTCCTCCAATAGCTTGGCGCAGAACGGGACCCTGCGAATTGCAATTCCCCAATATCTTGACGCAAAACAGCGGCAACCGCTGCAATTTACAGTATTTGCAACCAAAAAAGAGCCAACGTTAGACCGCCAGCGTTAGGAAAAGACAACCTCCACCTCCTACGTTGGCTTCTCGTAAGAGTCACTCAGAGTCGAGCCTCTGTTGTTTCTGGATACTTGAGGAATGCAGCGGAATGTGAAAGTTGTGGGTTGGAAGGAAGTCTTCTTTAGCACGCAGCCTGTTCGATGCTCGATGGCCTTTCTGGGGTGGCCTGCCCAAAAACATTGCTCTGTAAAGCGTTTGGCTTCTGAACATCCGAGTCGAACGCAGCGAACCTGAGTGACTGCAATGGATCGGGGAAGGCCCCAAACTCTAGAAAACCCTACCCTATCCTACGTCCGAGGCGTTGCGAGCGCCGAAACCCTTATCCTACACCCAAAAGCCCGCTCTTCCCTTGTCCCCAGGAGCAACGACACCTGTGGTGGCTTCGAAGAAGTTGGCAAGTCGGAGGGTTGAGGATTGGAGTTGGCAGTGGGGCGTTTAAGGATTTTGGCTGTTTCCATCTTTGTATGCTTTCTGAGCCTAACACAGGGTTCAAGGCAAGAGAGGCTATCCGGAATTGACCAACCTTGATCTAAGATGATCAGATGGTGGACTGAAGGTTTGCGCATCGCAGATTCTTGGATGGCTCCGGTATCTGTGTTGCCAAACTTTCTGCTTGTTCGCCTGCTCGTGTTTGTCAATTCCTCCGACTGCTTTTCACCACCCCACCATCACCAACAGCAACATCGACCAATACCACGACGACCACCGATCTCACTCTCACTCAGACTCCAAATGCGACGACCACCCCCGTGACTCCTACGACTGCTAATGAGCTTGAGATACGAGGGGGGGTGACCTAGATCGGGAAGGAAACGGTCCCCTCACAAGCTCCCGCGTCTTAGGAATCTTGGGAAATACCTTTGCAGCCTTATGGTTGTTATCGTCTCGCGCACCGAGAGCACGATGCTGCTGGTTGCTGCCACTCGGCTCCATTTCTACGATGTTTAGCAGGCTGTTTTTGCGGACACGTCTGAGCTGCAGGATGCGGTAATGAAGCCTTAGACACTAGAGCTTACGGCGTGCGGAGGCCCCACCCTTGGGCTCAAGCCTGGGAAGAGACCCGAAAGTAATCAGTTGTTCGCAGACATACCCGAAACCGCAAGCAGCACTACCCCTGCAACCTTATCGCCAGTCCAGGACCCAGTTAATCCCTGAATCCCAAGCTCTTATACACCTGTCTACCAAAAGCATCTTGAAATCGTTAGGTCTCCACGACAGCCACATTGTATGCCTTCTTTTGGGACGTGCCGCGGCAGCAAGCCGAACCAGTGACAGCCCGTCCAAAATCTGGCAGAGCGCTTCTGGCAAGGAGGAAGGGTGTGCTCGGAGCTCACATGGAAGGCGTGGTACGGAAAACGAAGGAATGAGTCGGAGCTCAGAATCCGCCTTGCAGCCGCACAGAGGAACAGAGGCCCTCAAAAGTGAAAACAAGGCCTCCTTATGTTCATGTGGTTCATGTGCACCTGAAACGAAAATTGGAACGGCCAAGTTATTAGCTCTGCAAGGCGAAGGTTCCTACCATCGGCGTGTCCTCAACACGCCCCACACCTAGAGAACCTCAAAGCCGTCGACTAGAGGAAAGCTTGATGTGGTTTGAGGATGTTGAGATATGTTTAGGGTCTGGCTTAAGGCACATGTCTTTTTTGAGGGCTTCTGGTTTTTTCTGGACAAGCTCCGCCCCAAACACGGGGTCACTAAGGTTGGCCTCGACTGGGGTCTCAGCTACAAAGAGTCCCTTGGTCAGCTGCCAGTGCGCGATGTCAGCGTTCCAGGGCTTCGGAATTGAGGTTTTAGCTCTGACTGTTCCACCGATTCAAATAACAGACGAGAAGGCCATTCGAGCAGTAAACAGAACTGCCGTGATCGTCGTCGTCTTGTTAAATCATCGAGCCGCACCTGTCACTGACAAGACTTCAACGCAGCAATATATACTATGACACATCTCATAGAACATATATATATATAGATAGATATAGATATCAATATATATATATATAGATAGATATAGATATAGATATTCAAGGTTCCATCGAGCTCGTTACTCCCACGCTCACACACTCACGAGGCTTTGGCTCAGGTTCGACTTGACTGGCCGTCAATTTCCGGTCAAGGCAGGGGAGGAGCCTGGCTCCCATGAGAATGGAGAACAATTTAGGGTTGAGGGTTTAGGGAAACCCGATGGTTTAGGGTTTAGGATCGATCACAAAAGCTCCCAGGGAGCTTTTAACACAGAATTGACTCCGCCTCCGAGACTGGCAGATAGGTGCTTGTAGCACTGCCCCTCTCGCCCTGTGTCTCAGTCGAAGAGGACTCCTGAGGACTTCGACAGGGATCCGGATGCTGGCAGCGTGGTGAAACTCTCGGCTTGCCGTAGGAATAGTCTTCTCGGCAGGCCTACTGGCTGTGCAGCTTGTTGGACATCTTCGCCAGGTCCACATGGGCGGGGCTCCCGGTGCGGGATCAACGCCGAAGCTGCCATGCCCCCGCGGTGCTGCTTTATGACTAATGCTCAAGAATCCAATGGTTCCAATGTACCATTGTTAACGATCCGGCCATGATTTAAGAAGGATTCCTTAATCAGAAGGTTTTGGAATGGTTTGTGTACTCTAGTTAACATACTACATCCCTCAGTTTGCAACATGCTTGAACTCCGAAGCACAAGAGGAGCACAGCTTAAAGGCTCCACTCTGCGGCGTGGAGCCTGCCCAATGGCTTCATAACAACGGCCCCCACGGTTTAGGAGTTCAAGGTTTTTGCGGGTGTTCGGGTTTCTACACAACAGGAAGAAGTCTACGGTGACGTAAGGGAAAATCGCGGCCCTCCCTCGCCACTTGTACACAAGCCCAGGCTTCCGACACCCCGATACCACAGCAAAGCTTCGCAATGAGGTGTTCACGCTGATGCCCACGAGCGTCGTCACTGGCTCTTCGGCTAACGAAGCCGTCTTGTAGGGTTGGGGTTGATTCTGATGTGTGTTGAATCTGTTCCTCTTGTTTTTTGGCTTCAAGGGGGTCCCATGAAGCTCTGACGTCTCGAAGTCGCAAGCCCTGCCCAGCTTTTCCCCTCAAGCTCAAGCAATTTTATGGAAAGCCAGAGTTTTCGTTTCAGGGGCCTAATAGAGCCTAAATCCTAGCAGTTCGATTGGAAACTCAGAATTGCAGCCAACATTCCAACATTCAGGTATCCTGCCTGGCGGCAGGGGCTGTTCTATTGGTCCATGGTACTTGCGAAAATGCCATAACATTGCTCTGAGACAAGACCATGTAGCAGCACATGATGGCTTGGAAGTGGGTGATGTTGAAAAGGGCCCCACCAAATACCAATCCTTGGAACAGTTATGTCCGAGACTCGGCCCAAGCTTCGCCTGGAACCAGACAAGGTAACATCGTGGTTCGTGTGATCCTTGTGTCTGTGATGTCGTCGATTGAGATCATCCGACGGAGCATGTGGGCAGTGCTGCGCGACTTGCCGAAAAAAAACCTTGCCTGTTTGTCGAGGAGTTGTGGATGCATTTCTCATGTCGCAGAACCGCCAACCCTGAACGGATTCTGAAGGGTGCTGATGACATTTCACCTTTCTGTGGAAGTACATTGCTTTCTTTGTCGGAGTGCACTTGATCGTGCAGCAAACCGAGTAGCCAGCTGAGACATTGCGCACATGGGCTGTGATTCGCGGCAATGACCATTCGATGCAGCTCAGGCATCGAGTATGAGCAAGTCAGCAATGCCCCACTCATGCAAGACAGCCTTTCAGGGCCAGGCATGGATTTTCTGGCGTACTCACGAGCTGGTTGCGCCCGCACTCGTCTCATCCAGGTTTGTCTCTCCCTCTCTCTCTCTTCTCTCTCTCTCTCTCTCTCTCTCTCTTTCTCTCTCTCTCTCTATATATATATATGCATGTATGTGTATATATGTATATATTTATATATGTGTCT